CCCTGACAATTTATTTCATTCAAGAGAACAGTTTTCTTCAGGAAAAGGTGATCTTTGGCCTGTTAAAATTAGTAAAATGCATACATAGCAACAAATTGATATTCTAAGCGTTTAATCATAAATATTTAATCCTAAGATAACCACAGTATAATTATGTAGATTGACTCTTAATTTTTTTGTTTGTTTTGCTTTATAAAGATTCAGTTTAGAAAACTGCTTGCCAATAACCCCAGTATGGCTTGTGCATATTTTCATTAGTTTACCTTGAAACAAACATGTTAAACACATCATTGCTTTTTTGAAGATGAAGATAGTATATTCATGGAATGCCTGACACATCTTCTTGGTTTCATTAAGATATTTGTCCAGCTGTTTTCTGCCATGCAGAGAGCAGCTCTTCTCCACCAGGCCACTCTGCCATGCTGTTCTTTGAGCCAGCTGACTATGGACCAAAACAAATGAAATGGAGGTTTATTTTTAATGGAGATGAATTCCAGACCTGACTTCTTAAATCCCATAAATACAGTAACACTAATCTTCCAGACATATTACTTAGAAATAGTATATTACTTTTAAAAAAAAATTGCTTCAAGCAGTATGCACTTTACAGCTAGGTAAACTGTTCATGATTACATATAATAGTAAGTAGCAAATGACAGGAGTTGGACACGGCACACTGAAATCTACATTACAGCCTGATAGAATTACACACTAAAGAATGAGTACAACAATGATAAGCATCCAGTAGTTAGTAAATAGCACATAAATGCAGCACAAGTTATAATAAATAGTTGCAGGAAAATTTTAAAAAATTGTCTAATTTTTCCATTTTCCTGTTGGCTGACGTAGATTAGTAAGTAGTAAATAAATTAGTAAATTTACAGCTAATTTATAGCTAGATAAACTGACCTGAAGAATTTTGTTTGATAGTGTTATATTGTAGTACTCGTTCCATTTTCCTTTTTTGATATCAGGATTTGAACTCAGCGCCTTGCACTTGCCAGGCAGGAACTGTACCGCTGAGCTGTATTTCTGGCCCTCATACTCAAATTTTTATATTGATTTAAATGAAGAATTAGTAACTTGCCTTTTAGCACCACGAATCATGTTCAAATTGACCTTGACAAGAAAATACAATCAAGGTTATTACAGGCTGTGCCAGGGAGATAGCTCAGCAGTATAAAGTATCTACCTAGCAAGCGTAAGGTACTGAGTTTGATTCCCCATTACCCCATCCACCCAAAAAAGATTATTACAGGGTGAAATTTATTTACTTAATTAATTTATTTTGGCGGGGTGAAATTAAATAAGGATAAACATCAAGACTCACATTAGATTCAAATAAATCAGGTGACAGATACTGGATTAAGACAATCTTGCTGGATAAGATTTTAGCTGACCATAAGAGCAAAGAGTGTGTTAAGTCTCAGATAAAAGACAATTATAGTACTACTGGGCTATCTCTTGGAAATAGACCCCTAAGGTATTTCATGAACTGCTGACAAACTAACTCACGCTCCACAACTAAAGCTGTGGAAGGATTTAAAGCAGTTATAATACGGGATTTTTTCTTTTTTTCTCCCAATGCCTTCAGGGCAGGTTTGGCTGGCTTGAGTTGTGGGGATTGAACCACAGCAACCTGAGCCTGACTGCTTTGTTAAAGCAGCCACTTAAAGAACTGAGCTAAGGGGCAGGCCCCCTGGGATTGTTTTATCTGAAGTGAAAGTACCATTTCTGTTTGTTGATTCTCAGGGCTGTTGTGTGGAGTTTACCCTGTGGCTGTAGAGGGAAAGTCAGGAAAAATGGGTAGGAATTAGGAAAAAAGTGCCTTTCAGCTTGAAATGACCTAATCATGTAACAGGCCTTGTTTAGGCACGTCCTGTTATTGAATATGTTCAAATAAAGGGAGGACAGCTGTGGACAGGAGTGTGGTGTAAAGACTTCCTTTGCTGAGTGAGACACTGTAAGATTCTGTGTCAGTATCAAGAAACATATTGGAAACACAGGTAGCCTCTAATTCAGTTTGTTGAAATTCCTAGTAAGAGTGGTTTCCATCCATCAGAATACTGAGAATTTGTGTTTTGCCAGCAGGTGGCACTCATGCCTGCTGCCTCAATTTCAGCCTTTAAAAGAGGTGCGCTCTCCCCTAGAGGCAGAATATGCAGTGCGATTCAGCACATCCAGCTTCCTCCAAATGTTGGTCACTATTTTGTCCTGTCTCATTGTATAAAGTCTTGTGAGGGTTTGGCTCCTGTTTGAGAAATATTTAAATCTGTTATTGTTTAAACAGAATAACATGGAATTAAGAGTTTTGTCTCATACTTCTCAAGACTTGCTGATTCTTCTGCTTTTACATCATTGCATTTATATACGTCCAAGTATTCTCCACCTTAAACAAAGTAAAATTCAGCAAGCAAATCCTGTCTTTCCCTAACTCCATCCCTAATGTCCTGGGCTTCTCGTTTCTACTGTAAGCCAAATATCTGCAGAGATGCCTCCATTTTTGCCATGTCTATAAATTCTGTAGACCCTTTGGTCCTCAGTAGCCCCTAACACATTAATGTCTCTTTTTTCATCAAGTACTGTGAGTTAAGCCTAAGACTTTCACACTGAATGACATCCCCATTTTTTTTTTTTTTCTTTCTAGAATTACAGGTATGTAGTAGCATAGCAGCTCATTAATGACTTGTTGGAACAGATGTCTGCCTGGTGTGGCTGGTCTTGTACCTTCCAGTATTTTCCCTGTCTCTGCTTATTTGCTTTCTGTCTGTCTTCCTAACCAATCAGTGTTCAAATTTTTACAATGTTCTTGCCTTCTATTTTGTGTCATTATTTCTCAAGATTCCTGGATAACCCTTTGCTTTGAAGTTATTTCAGAATATTGTTAAAAATGCTTTTTCTTGAGTTTTTTCCATACCTACTGAATCAGACTGAGAGTGGTGGCCAAGATTCATAATCAGCCCCAAAGTGACTCCTAAACACATTAACTTTAAGGATCATTGCTTTACATTTTTTCCCTTAGGGGAATAGATTGATGACTAACAAGTGTCTCCTGCCATGGTTGTTTTCCTGAGGTTTGGAGGTCTGTTTAGTTGTATCCCTGTTTGGATGTTTTGTAGGTACTGAAAACTCATGAACTTTTCCTTAATCTCACTATTCTTTGGTAATCT